AAATGGGGTTTTTCCTTTTATATTGAAATCTCCCCTTCAGAGCCTCCCTTCAAATCACAAGCCTCCTTTTACAGGAGCCTTCTTTCCATTAGTATCCCTCATTTCACATTACAAGCCCCCCTTTCATATGAGTCCTCAGTCCCCTTCACATCATAGTCCTACCATGACAACTGGAGCCACAGCTGCGGAAGCATGACAGAGGGTGGGGGCGAACTTCCGTCCTTTTCTGAATGGATCCTATCCCCCTAGATTAGTGTAATTTATTTTTGTGGTGCTGGTGGCCGGCCTACCTGCATCATGGAAAGACATGACGCCGTGCAATCATTTTGAGCACTCGTAAGGAGGCCAGAAGGCACCCCAGGGTGCCGCAGATTGAGAAAGGCTGTTCTAAGCACATGCCTAAGCGCTTGTTCACACCACATGCAGATCAGATCTGCATGAGTTTCTGCACATGCAGTCCAGTGTGTTTTGCCGTGTTTTTTCCGCGCCGTTTTTGTAAAAAAATAAATATATATATTTTTTTTCTGCCTAAAATAGGCTTTCAGTGCATTCCGGGGCGTTTGCATGCATTTTTGATGCATTCACATGCATTTTTGTGCGTTCCAGAGCAGAAAAAATAGGGCATGCTGCAGGGCATAGGGCATGCTGCAGTTTTTCTGCATGCTCTGGAACGGAACGCTCTGGTGTGATCCCAAAATACCATGGGAATATATTGGACGCAGTTTTAATCCGTTCTGTAACTGCTCTGCACCTGCTCTGCATTTGGTGTGAACTAGCCCTAAAACTTTAGGACCGCAGGCATTTGTCAGTAGAATTTACTAACATAAAATTAGTATTATTAAGGTAAAACAGTAATGCTTTAAAGCAGTCTTATTTCTCAACTTCCTTGTATTTTGCAAAGCTAAAGATTCTTTGGAAAAAAAAACTATCTTCATTAATTCTATGAAATGTGATCCAAATATTTTTAGTGGTATTAAAAACTGCAAACAATATGTATAATGCCAGTCAATCCAGTTTTCTTCATGAACTTAAATCTGCATGATCCTACATCTTTTTTTTTATAAAGACCAAGTAGAGCTGTGATAAGCTTCTTTCCAGAAACATACAGAATGCTTTAGGTGATGCCCTTTATTGGCTAACTTAAGTTATTAAAGATGCAGGTTATTAAAAAAATTAAAGAAAACAATCATTCTGGCACTGCTTCCAACTTACCACTGTTTTAGGCACCTAATGCCTTTGCAACAACTTTATTCATGTAGTTGGCTTGGTAATGCTTTATCTCAGGAAAAGCTTGAATGGCCCTAATATAGTGCCCTGGGAAACAAATGTCCGTTTGTAAAAGACAAGAAGTGGACATTATGGTAACTGTCAAAAGTTATTTTGAGTTGTGGTCAGTGGGGATCATGAAACATGGTTATTATTGTACATTTTAACTTTTACAGTTTTCTGTTAGGAGTATAACATGGTGACTTGAATTTTTCACCAACAGCAATGGTTTGAGAGTAATCAATAGTCTGTGTATTTGCTTATAACATACAGGAGTTTTTCCAAGAGCTCTGCTCAAGTGCCAGCACTAGACGCCGTTTTACTAAAGAGTCAATCTCCGAAAAGCCTGCATTTACCTCCAAAAACTCTTAGAATTTACTGGGAACTTATTTTTTTAATTACCCTAAAAAACTATTGGCCATTTGAAATTGGTATATTAATTTTTGAGCTAAAGCATAGATTGAATGCAAACATTAGACTATGGGGTCTATTCACGAAGGTGCCGAGGAATGACCGATCTGAAGTGAAGTGAGCCGAACACCATTCGGCTTGCGGAGCTAGCAGTGACAGCTAGCTCCGCCCAATAGTTTCCTATTGTCCGGCGGCTTTGCTGCTGTCAAAAAAAAAAACTCCCGGGCGCTCTGGGAGTCTCCCGGCCGCCCAGTAGAGAAGCACTGCCGTGTCTTTTTGTTTTCTTTATTCTGACACAATTGATGTCAGAATATAAAACAAAATATAAAAAAAAGACATTTTCCCATTAAAAAGCATTGGGACATTACTATTGGCTATTTTAATTTGCAATAGCTCGAAGCTACGGCCAGATCCTTCGGCAGCTTCGTGAATAGACCCCTATGTATTTGTTTATAACACACAGGGGTTTATTCACTAAGCTGCCGAAGGATCTAGCCATAGCTTCGGCTGATCCTTCGGCTAGCTTCGGACCCAGGACCCCTTCGGTTCAGTAGAACCGAAGTGCTGATGTAACGGCTATTCATTATAGCCCGTAGAGCTCCCGAAGTTGGCCGAGCGGCTCAGTCGAGCCGAATGCATATGCCTCGGCTCGACTGAGCCGAGGTGAAAGCCGAAGCTGGCTTTAGTTCCCCTTCTGGTGATTGACAGCAGCAGAGGGCGGGTGCAATAGCTAGTTTGCTATTGGCTATTGCAAAGTGAAATAGCCAATAGGAATCTAGCTATGCATTCTTATGGTGGTGGGGTTTTTTTTTTTTATTCTGACGGCAGCAGAACTGCCTGGCCAATAGAAAACAGTTGGGTGAGCTAGCTGTCACTGCTAGCTCCACCCAATCGTTTTCTATTTTATTTTTTCTACTTTTTTAACAGTTTTTCTATTCTGCTCGGTACCACAGAGGTACCAGGCAGAATAGCCGAGCCGAATGCTGCTCGGCGGCATTCGGCTATTCACTCACTGCTGTCCGGCATCTATGAGAATAGGCCAAACAGCAGCGAGTAGCCTGCCGGAGGTTCGGCTCAGCCGATCCAGATGTTGGATCGGCTGAGTCGAACTCCTTCTGCACTTCGGGTCGACCGAACATGCTGAGCTTGTTTGGCCGATCCGAAGCCAGCCGCAGCAAGCTGATGCACGGCTGATTTTAGTCGGTGTACGGCTGAAATCAGCCGTACAAGCCTGAATGAATAGCCGAACAGCGTTCGGCTCACTTCTCATCGGGTCGGTTATTCACTCGGCTGCCTACAGCAGCTTAGTGAATAGACCCCACAGTGTTTTCTGCTCCTCAAGTATCAAAATTTGGGGTGGTTTTAATAAAGGAGTCATTTTTATACCGGCTATTACTCATGTCAAATGCTCTCAAAAAATACAGTGTACTTAATATTTTTGTAGTTTGCTTTAAAGGCTAAGTTTGCCTTTTAGACCATGTTTACACCTATATTTAGGGTCACATTGACATGGTCACATTGACACCCCCACCCCCATCTGGCTCCCCCTCTTACCTGAATTGTAGGATTCTTCTCCTCTCAGGCGGCTGCTAATCATTTTTTTAAGATGCAGCTGTGTGTGGCTCCACCCACAATGGAGAAACTACAAGTCTCGTCTACCACCGTCAAGTCCCGTGTGCTGTAGCTCTCAATGGAATATGTCACCGCTCCTGTAGTCCATTCATACTACCTCCCATCCATTCTACTGAATGTCCAAACCTCGGTACAGACATGGACAGGAGGAATTGTTTGCAGGAGGAAGAACATTGCACCCGCAATCTACTAATCAAGGTTGCAAAGCTTTACTGGCTCCAAACCAAAAAATACATTCACTTTTTTTCTTTTCTGCATATGCGTGCATTTATTATTTTTTTAAAGCGGACTTCAGCTTTAAACACTATTGAACATTTGCTATCAAATAGTAATAGCTTCTTCAGTAAGTCAGTTCCCCAGACCATAAAATCATAGATGACAGCACTCTTTTGCCACAGATGCTCATAATAAATTAAAGTAAATATCAACTGAGAAATGCGTGTGTGAATATTATGAAACATACTCTATATTACACTGTGAACTACCTTGAATCATTTAGGGGTGGTGGAAGTTCCATGACTCAAGAACATTGGTTGTAAACCATCATGTTAATGCTTGACAATCATGCACTTCTGCTGTGCACCAATAGAATGTAGCTAATCTTCTTACCAAAGTCCACCCTATAAACCACATACACTCATTTCCAATGTCATCTTGCTTTGTCTACATTTGTTTTATTCTAGTTTCCCTGTAACAAGTGTTTAAGTTGCAGATCCAGGTAAGTCACCCACAAGAAGACAAGATTTTACCAGTCTCCTTAAGTCTGCAACAAATGTTACGAAAAGTAGATATTTTATGACAGACATTCAAAAAATATTATTGTAATTGTATACAGCTGAATAAAATGGTAAGTTTGAAATTGTTAACCTTTTCAATATTTTTTTGCAGAAAAGAATCGTAAACTTTCCTCAAGTAGTGACACAGCAGAAAGAGAGAAAAGGGGAATTTTAGGATTTTTTCGCAGCCACAAAAAAGGAAGCAAGGTAAAGATATGCACAATTATACTAAATAACATGCTCCTTATATTTCCAGTTGTATTTTAAAACTGATGTTATTTGTCATCTGATAGGACACAAAAAGGATCATTTAAGTGTTTTCGAATAAACTTGTTTTCTCTCTGTTGTTTGCATTAGCCACACTATGTTGTTCAAATCACTAATCATAGTAAATATATATTATCTGTTGTATATATAAAATCCATAGCAACTCAGTGAATCATGATTGCTGTTAAGATGTTGCAGAGTATTACTGTAGGCTCTCTACCACTAAGGGATGGCCATCTATGTAGGACTTTGTTTAGTAACAATCAGATCCTTGCCCAATTTATTGTTTACCCAACATGGGCTTTCACTGTTTGTTGCATGTTGAATCTCCAATTATGGGCAGTGGGGCAGTGCCACGTAATGCTGGTGTCATACCAAGTAATAAGAGATTCTGCAATCTGGAACATCAAAGCTGGTTTTAGGATATTTCTGTATCTACACATTACACAGATTGTTGCACAGTCATTCAGAACATGCAAAGTGTATATGCTTTTTAAGGGTTTTTCATTTCTGTGACAAATGAAATTATCCGTATGCACAAACACAGATTGCTTTCAAATTACAGTATCTCTCTCTTCAGTGGACTAAACATTTGCAGCTATGCTAGTGGTGACATGCTTTTACAATAGATATTTATGACATTCTGACATCATCTTTAGGGATGCACAGATACTTTTCGAGTATCAGTGCAGATACTTGGCACTTTCATTAAAACTACCAGGGTGTCTGAAATTAATTCATCAGGTTTCAGTGGAAAAATGCCCCTTACATTGGTGGTCAGTGGGAAGAATACCCTAATTACAGTGGTGATCAGAATGCCACCCACCAGAATGCCACCCTTAGACAGCTAAAAGGATAACACTGGGGAACAAAGTTTTTGTTGCAGCGATACCAGCACTTGTTTCTTCCTAATTTGAGTGTGCTGAATTCAAATCTGTAGCTAGCTTTTCTCTGTAAGCTCTAAATTCTTTGCAATTCAACATTTTCATTGTTCGTAAAATGTTGACACCTCTCGCATAATTACATGGTCTATCTGAGGAATTTATCGTCATACAGTCTTAAAAATAAGGCTAAAACAACCATCGTGGCAAAGATATTCTTTATGTATTCACAAAAATGTGGGTGCCTCACAATAGGCATTCAGTTTTGAAAAAAGGCAAAAAAAAAAATCACTTATGTGGAGTACAATATGTACTGCCACTTGCCAAATCTGAAACATTTATGCTTTATAGTCAAATATGAGTATGCACTAATACTTTTTACTTTAAATTAGCATATATTTCAACATAAAGATAAGTGATTCAGACCAACTGATGGGTTGCAAAGTTTAAATATGTCCTATTCAGGCAAGAATTTGCGCTTGTAGCTGTGGCGTTTGTGGACTTTCTCAGGGGAATCTTGTTTGATGCTCCAGCAGTAGTCTGCCATCATATTTTTGTCCCATCGTCCTTGATAGCGCTGTTCCATCATCATGAGGTCTTGATGAAAGCACTCTCCCTGTTCATCACTAATAGCCCCAAGGTTCCTGGGGAATTGATAAAAGTGACTATTCAGGAAATGGAGCTTGACACTCATGTTGCACCCAAGATCGCCAAAAGCCTACAGCAGTCTAGTAACGAGATTCTCATAGTTATCTGCCTTTTTATTAACATGAAAATTTTGTATAACTGCCAATTCAAATCCTTGTCATTCATCTTCCTCTTGTGTAAATCAGATAAATCTCTAAAATACAAAATTAACAAAAAAGATAAAGAATATTGAAGTTTGTAAAAAAGAATTAGCCTAATTAGTCTAAGGTTAAGGTAGATGTAAGCCTAGTTCGCAAGCTACCCCTAGTGTAAATAGGAATGGGTGTCCTTTTTGTGTGAAAATTACAAGTTTAAAATTGCATGAAAACTAGAGCATGTAGAGGAAAATCTCATGCAACAGAAAATAAGAAAAAAATTGTTCCCCATTGTAATTTGGGTCATGTTGCTAAGTCTGCCTAGTGGCATTTGACCTAGAAATATGCAGGCACAATCAGATAGGAGGTCAATTAGCTACAACTCAAGGAACCCCTAGCATCTTCTGGAAAAATTGTTGGGTTCCACGGAATCCTGGTTGAGAATGGCTGACCTATATGGGCCAGAGCAATTTTTACATTTCTGCTTTTGGCATGTTTATTCAGCAATCATTTTGTCATTGCTTAAGATAACACGGTAAATACTTCTAATGTTTTATTTAGGACAAACAAGACCTTCTTTTTATTAGCATTATTTACAACAGTTTCTGCAGAGCTTTACAGAATAAAGGGAGACACTACAGTTACAATACAATTTATTAAAGGGTGGTTAGGAGGGCCCTGTTTATGAGAGCTTACAAACTAAAAGTAGTGGAAAGTAGGGAAAAACTCAATAATAACTGTACATGCTAACAAGCTAGTATATATTTACCTCTTCTGCTGCCCATGCTGCTCTATTGAAAATAAATCATCCTCTGAAGTCTGCTGAGAAACTAAACCCTTCAGGTGCATGCTGTGGTCAGTGGTTCCTTCCGCCAACTGCCACGTCACCACTTTGTCCTATAAAGTTAAACAGGAAGATCCACCAATTACAACTGGGGACACAGGAAATTGACATTTCCATCTTTCAATGTCACAGGCAGCAGAAGAGATATGTTTATACCAGCTTCTTTGCAGGTTTCTCTGTTATCCAGGTTAGCAACAGAGTTGCTTTAAAGTGTTTTCCCTAGATTAATGTAAATGTTTGTTGGCTTTGCTGGCAAATAATAAAAAAATTATCTAGGTTAAGTAACGTGTTCTATTTTTACCCTTATATAATCAAACCATTCTAAATGTATATCGTGCTTTGCAAAAAATAAAATCTAGCCATATTGGTCTTAAAGAATGAAAGCTGCATTAGGTAAACAGTGGTATAATTCTTCATGTGTCATCATTGCATGGTACTGATGTAAATAGTGCTCTGGACATGAAAGGGTAAACACTTCTGAACTTCTTGACACTTATAAAAATAATTTAGATTAGCTATCTAGAAATTCAAAAAGTGACATTTGACCCAAAACGGAAATAGCTGATTTATCAGAAAGTAGATAAGGCAGTGGCCTTGTAAATGTTATTTATGGAACCTGTAAGTAGTGTTACTTCTTTATTTCTCACATTAAAGGCACTCCTTCACTGCATACCTTTGCACTTGCACAAATGTCAGCACATACCAAGATTCCTACTGTAAATATGTAGCAGGAACAAAACAGGAAAAAAATCAGAAAATGAAACCCAGTGCTGTATTGTGTGTTTAAATTGGTTACCTGCTATCAAGATATTCAATATATCACTGAAGGTATAAAAGTCAAGTCAATAGTAAGATGCATTTAAATTGGTAAAATAGAGGCAGTCCCTGAGTTACATACATCCGACTTATATACAACTCCGACTTACAAACGGAGGCTATTACTGTACAGCAGGGGTAGTTGTAATGCTACCGCGATCGTGCCAACGCAGAGTGCCCTCCTTTTTGGGTCTGGTTTGTAGTACTGTACATATATAGTTACATAGTTACATAGGGGTCTATTCACTAAGCTGCCGAGGGAATGACCGATCTGAAGTGAAGTGAGCCGAACACTGTTCGGCTATTCACTTCAGGCTGGTACGGCTGATTTCAGCCGTACATCGGCTGAAATCAGTTCGACACAGCCGATCCAACATCTGGCATTAAAGACATAAGTCCATCAAGTCCAACCTAATACGTGTGTGCATTTATGTTTGAGCAGGTGTGTGCGTGTGTATGAGTCCATGTGTGATCTTGTTCTTAGGCGTACCTGTACCCCTGTATATTATGCTCTCCGAGGAACTCGACCAAGAGCTTCTTGAATGCTTCCACACTCTTAGCTGAAATCACTTCCTGCGGCAGCGAGTTCCAGACCTTAACCACTCTAACTGTGAAGTTGTGCCCTGTGTGTTGAAATTTTTTTTACACCAATTTTTGTTGGTGCCCTCTGGTCTTTGTTACGGAGCTAACCATAAACAGTTTGTTAACAATGTTGCTGCCACCATTGCACAGTTTATACAAGAATATGTCCCCCCTTAATCTCCTAACCTCCAACGAGAACATATTTAATTTTAACTACCTTGTTTCATAGTTCAGGTTCTCGAACCCCTTAATGAGTTTTGTTGCCCTCCTCTGGACTGTTTCCAGCTCAAGGACATCCTTTCTGAGTATTGGTGACCAAAACTGGGCCGCATACTCCAGATGCGGCCAAACCAGTGATCTGAAAAGTGGTAAAATTATAGATTTGTCCCTGCAATACATTTCCTTCTTAATGCAAGACAGGACTCTACTTGCTTTGTTTACAGCAGCCTGGCACTGCAAGCTGTTCTTTAGTCTGCGGTCTATGATGACCCCCAAATCCTTCTCCGTTTCCGACTTCCCTAGTGGTGCACCCATAAGTGTATAGTCCATTTGCCTATTTTTAACTCCAAAGTGCATTACCTTGCATTTATCGACATTGAACTTCATCTGCCATACAGTTGCCCACTCCCCGAGTTTATCCAGGTCCTCCTGTAATGTTATAACATCTAAATCCGTGTCTATTACCCTCCCAATTTTCGTATCATCAGCAAACACTGAGACACGGCTACTTATCATTAATAAATAGGTTAAAAAGCATGGGACCCAGCACAGAACCCTGGGGCACGCCACTCATGACCTCAGCCCAGTCTGAAAAGGTGCCGTTTAGCGAAACTCTTTGTACACGTTCCTTTAGCCAGTTTTCTATCCACGTGCACACTACTTCATCTATGCCCATAGACCTTAGCTTGTATAACAAGCGTTTATGTGGCACCGTATCAAATGCTTTGGAAAAGTCCAGATATACTACGTCCACCGTCCTCCCTCCATCCAGATCTCTACTTACCTCTTCGTAAAAGGTCAGCAGGTTGGTCTGAC